ACTTAATTTCAACCTTGCTAAAATTTGTAATTCACTTTGAACATTGGACATCAAAATTTTTATATATAAATGACAGGCACATATGAGATTTGTGCATTTTTTAAATGAACCCAATCATTAATATAGAAAAATATAAAATAAGAGATCTAATATATGTCTATAATATGAAATAAATGTAAACTTGAAAAATTCTATATTAAATATAAAATTTCTCTATAATATAGAGGAAAAATAGATCAAATTGAAATTTTAGAAAGTTATGGCAATATTTCCTTCAGTAGTTTTCACAAATTTTCTCAAACTCAACATGTTTTCTAAGAAAATAGTTAATTAGAGCACATTGAGGTTATAAAAGATAATGTCTAAGAGCAGAATATTATCTCTAGGAGTGATAGCTATCTAATGTTTTCTTTATTCTTAAACAAATACTCCAGAAAATTATTTGTTTTTTTTAAAAAAAAAATGATAAGGATCTTTGTTGTGTCGACCCTTTACTACCCTAAATTCTTTCTTGCGACTGCTGTAAATGCTTATCATTACTTTTTTCCCGTCTTTTCTCCTAAGACCACCTATGTATAAGAAAAGAAATCACTGCACATTTTAGGCAAGCAGTATTTATCAGTTGAGGATTATCCATTCACGTGTACAGTTACTGGTAGAAGATAATGCTGGAAACTCTCTTTCTGCTGCCTACAATGAAGCTGTTCCCCTGTGGCAATGCCAGACACCTTGAAGCCCCTCTTACTGAAAGAGTGATGGGTAACCTTCCATCTACTGGCAGTTGGATGATGAACTACTGTGTCAGCAGTTGCATGGCAACTCTGCATGTGCATATACTTACCTATGGTAAATGCTTGTCTGTTTTTTGGAGGGGAAAGCTTATGAAATAGACCTGGCAAAAATGTGCACACTGTTCAGTGAGATACTGACATGTAGTAACTTCTTACCCTTGTGTTAAAAATGTTTTGTTATATGGGAGGACTCAAGGTTAAAGACGGATTTGTTTTTAAGTAGTTCTTCTCAAACTGTTTAAAATGTGTGTGCATATGTTTACCAGCTTTTGGAAAGAAGGGCTTCTATGGTAAAGTAATCTACAGGCCTGCTCAGTTTGTGTCCCGGGGAAAAGCTGTCCCTTACTGTGGGAGGTGGGGAACCAGGAAACTTTCAGAATGTAGCGTGTGACTGGAAATGAAGGATTCATCTTGGTGTGGATGGAAGATAAAACCAGTGGTTTGATCAGTTGCTTAGTGAAGGAAGGAGAGGAGAGGAAATTCAGGGCAAGTAGAGAAGTCCTTCAGCACAACAACTGTTGTTGGCTTTGGTGGCTTTGCAAATCGATTGCTTGTAGTGGTGCTGTTGGTGTTTCCCCCCTCATCTTTATTCATACCGTGCCTTGTAATACTGCATGTGTCCAAAACCACAAAAGTAGGACCTGAACTCCCAGCTTTCTCCGCAGCTGCTTAGTACTCCTGGTGTTGCCTTGTCTAAGTGATGTACTGAGAATGTAGCATTTTTGTCTTAACTGTTTTAACCTGGATGCTAGATTCTGTGTCACTATTAATTAGCTTGTAGTTCCAGGAGCATATGGCTGGTCTCCTGTGGATTGTGTAACCAATTACTTTTCTTCAGACACTAGATTTTTCTGTAGATACCAGCATGGGGCTTTTGCAAGAAGTTTATAACAAGATCTGTCAGTGGTTTTAGTGGAAGGGATGGGGTGAACGTTCATGCTTCATTATTAATGAAAAATAGGTTTGACTATGAGGAATTTAAAGAGTAAGTAAATTCATCTGATTTCTTAAACTTTCAGAAATATTTCCTAAATAGGTCATATTGTGATACATCTGTCAGGCAATGTCTTTCGGCTCAAAGAGTAACTGTGGAGAACATGGTGGATATGTTTGTGGGCAAGGTCTCAAAATTGTGTTTTGAGGCTGACATTGCTGTTAGAGTGGAGGAGGTCTGAGATATGCCAGACCTCATAGCAGAGGAGTAGAATTCCAGCCAGAAAACTCAAGAGGCGAAGTTCAGAATCAGTGGGTTGAGGGAAGGCTGTTATGGTGTGTAAAATGGTACAGTTTGTTAAATGGTAGACAAAAATCTGATTTTTAGAGATTCTATTTTTATGTGGAATAAAAGGTAAAACTGTGCCGATTGAGGCAATAGTCTCTTTTGGTAGATTGGTTCCAATAAGGAGTTCTTAAACAATAAGCTGCAAGTAAAGTGTTTTAACATTTGTCTTGAATTTATGAGGTTTTTGTTCTGTTTCACAACCTATTTCAGACTCCTTGTGAAAGCTGTTGATGTAAATTGAAAATCTTTTCCTGAAATGTGCAGAAAGAAAATATAGTCATATTACAAGCATTAAGTACATTTAGTCTTTACTAGTTAAACTTGTGTTATGAGCAAGAGTTATAGATGATGGTGAAGTATTTCCACAAAAAAAAAAAAAAGTAAAAGAGACTTAAAACCTTGTGAAAGTTAATGTCAGAAGTAGTAGTAAACATGTTCCTGTCTTTTAGAAGACAGATCTTGTCACTGCAAAGCTATTAATATCTATAAAGAATTTTAGTGAAGAATGTGCTGATGGTTTACTTTGTAGAACTGGGTTTCCTCTCTTAAGTGTAATCCTTTAAGGAATTAGGTAGCCATATCTGTGACAGAAATACTGCTTTCAGTACTATTTCATCAGACTGATTTGAATTTGTATTTTGCATACAAATAGTTAATCACTTCCATATTTCTGAAAATGCAACAGAGAAAAAATGATTTCACAATAGTGAAATTCTAAATATTCTGTTTGTAGGAGGATTGAATGAAACTGCATGTATTTGTTTTCCATTATCTTGGTTCTGTTTTCTTGAATATAAACATACTGAAAGACTTGAAAGTTCAGGGTACAGTCTGTTTTCTCCTTCTATTACTGTCTGTTGGAGTTAGGATGTGATAAGAGGGAGCAGGGACTCCACAAACGGATCTTGTGCAGGGTCTACCAGGGATTCATTAGGTGGAAACAGCAGTTTAAATTGGATTTTCCAATAGGTGAAGGACAGCATTTCTTACAATGAAACTGCAGTTACATAAAATAGTCTTGTACCTTTGCAGCAGTACCTGGGTACTCAGCTTGCTTTTCAGAGGTATAACTAATATGATCAAACAGCTTGTGTTTCAGTGTACTTTGTAGGTATTTTTCAAGAATGTTCAGTGGTTCAGGGCTAAATAAATAGATGGGAGATAGCATAATAAATAGTGAGTTGGAGTGGAATAGTCCCATGTGTCATTACTTAGCTGCCCAGCCTGCCACTGTGCTTTTAACTTTTCTGATGTAGTAGTGAACAAGGAGTCATTGTGTTACTGTGTGTCCCTATGATATATGTGAAAAATTGAATTGATTTTACATGTTTGCAGTTATCACAAGTGTGGAAGTGATGCATTTCTGCATTTTTATGTGTGAAAATACTTAATAAAGAACTGGTAATGTGTTGCCAAGTAGTCAGCTTTTCCTTACTTAACACAATCCGTCTTTGAGGGTCACAAATTAATAATTACCAGTTTATGGAATTTTAAAATAGAATAGAATATTTTCAGTTGGAAGGGACCTACAATGATCATCTAGTCCCAACTGCCTGACCACTTCAGGGCTGACCAAAAGCTAAAGCATGTTATTAAGGGCATTGTCCAAATGCCTCTTAAACACTGACAGGCTTGGGCCATCGACCACCTCTCTAGGAAGCCTCTTCCAGTGTTTGACCCCCCTCTCAGTAAAGAAATGCTTCCTAATGTCAAGTATGACATTATGCCGCAGCTTTGAACCATTCCCATGCGTCCTGTCACTGGATACCAGGGAGAAGAGGTCAGCACCTCCCTCTCCATTTCCCCTCCTCAGGAAGCTGTAGAGAGCAATGAGGTCACCTCTCAGCCTCCTTTTCTCCCAACCAGACAAACCCAAAGGCCTTAGCTGCTCCTCAGAGGACATGCCTTCCAGCCCTTGCACCAGCTTTGTTGCCCTCCTCTGGACACATTCAAGGACCTTCATGTCCTTCTTAAACTGTGGGGCCCAGAACTGCACACAATACTCAAGGTGAGGCCGCGCCAGTGCTGAATACAGCGGGATAATCACCTCTCTTGACTGGCTGGTTATACTCTGTTTGATGCACCCCAGGATGCCGTTTGCCCTCTTGGCTGCCAGGGCACACTGCTGACTCATATTGATCCTGCTGTCAACGACCAGCATCCCCAGATCCCTTTCTGCAGGGCTGCTCGCCAGCCACTCCTCTCCCAACTTATACTTGTGTCCAGCATTACTCCATCCCAGGCGCAAAATCCGGCATTTGGTCTTGTTAAATTTCATGCCATTGATGATTGCCCAATGCTCCAATCTATCTAGATCCCTCTGCAAGGCCTCCTGTCCCTCAAGAGAGTCAACAGCACCTCCCAGTTTGGTATCACCAGCAAACTTGCTAATGGTGCATTCAACTCCTGCATCCAGATCATTGATAAATAATATTGAACAGAGCTGGCTCTAGAATTGAATCCTGAGGAACACCGCTGGTGACCAGATTTTGGTTGTAAATTCCAACTGAATGCTCTGTAATTGGTTATTTCAATCTAGTTGATGGTTTTTTTTCAGAAATACATAATTAGATTTTGTCTGGTTATATCAGTTTCCTTCTTGCTTAGCTGAACTGTTATCACTGAGTCATTTTTATCAAGTACTTCTGCTAGCACAGGATCACAAGAAATGGTCAAATTAGCTAAAGGGTAAATGTCAAGTATCAAGCTCTCTTCTGTAGAGTAGACTTTTAAATTCTGATGAAGATTTCTGTTCTTTTTCATTCTCATGTACATACTCATTTTTTTTCACTGTGGATATTGGGAGACCCTACAGATAATAGAATTGATTTAGTCTTAACTGCTCCTTGTTGGATTGCCACAATGTTGTTGTTACTTAAAATTTGTTTTATAACAACTTCTTTTTTTCCATTTTCTTCCTATTTTTCAGATTATGGCACAGGCTCAAGGTTTGGGGAAGAGATACATTAAAGCCTTTTTTAAAGGTTTCTTTGTTGCTGTTCCCGTAACGGTGACTTTCCTGGATAGAGTTGCCTGCGTAGCAAGGGTGGAAGGAGCATCAATGCAGGTATTGTTGGAAACATCTTTTGTGCATCAGGAAATTAAAAAGTGACTGTCCACTGACAGTAATAAGGTGGAAAAAAAATCTTTTTCTCAATTGTTATTAAATGACCACATTGTAGTATGGAATAGTTTAATTTCGACTTTGTTAAACAAATACCTTTATGATGTGAAAAGAAAAGCTTCTGAGAACAAAACATGCCAAAATTCTGTCTCAGTAAAAGGAAAGTACATACATAACTAGTGATATATATTTTTTTTGTATCTTCTTAGTCATTTCAAAATAAAGATTTCATTTTTGATCACTACCTTTTGTCTCTTGGGGTTGAATTGATGACTTACAAAGAGGCTTTATTAATTTTTAGTAGCTGTATTATAGTAATTGTAAGGCAAAACTGGTTCTTGCTATACTTGCTCTTACTAATGAACAAGCATGGCACCATTTCAGTGAAGAATACTGATGTCGTGGTTTAACCTCAGCCGGCAACTAAGCACCACACAGCCGCTCGCTCACTCCCCCCCAGTGGGATGGGGGAGAGAATCGGAAGGTTAAAAGTGAGAAAACTCGTGGGTTGAGATAAAGGCAGTTTAATAGGTAAAGCAAAAGCCGCGCACGCAAGCAAAGCAAAACAAGGAATTCATTCACTCCTTCCCATGGGCAGGCAGGTGTTCAGCCATCTCCAGGAAAGCAGGGCTCCATCACACATACTTGGGAAGACAAACGCCATCATTCCAAACGTCCCCCCCTTCCTTCTTCTTCCCCCAGCTTTATATGCTGAGCATGATGTCACATGGTATGGGATATCCCTTTGGCCAGTTTGGGTCAGCTGTCCTGGCTTTGCCCCCTCCCAGCTTCTCGTGCACCTCCAGCCTTCTCAGTCGGTAGAGCATGGGAAGCTGAAAAGCCCTTGACTAGTGTAAGCACTACCTAGCAACAGCTAAAACACTGGTGTGTTATCAACATTGTTCTCATCCTAATCCAAAACACAGCACTGTACCAGCTACTAGGAAGGAAATTAACTCTACCCCTGCCGAAACCAGGACAACTGAAAATGGCATGAACTTAATATTAATTCCTATGCTTATCAGGACATAAGTATCAGTTCACTGTTTTTACTTTATACTGAATGTTTATACAGTCTAAGCAAATAAATATAAGTAGTTGTGTAACATTTAGAAGGTAAATACTCATGACAGTGAACAGCTACTTTGTTTCCTCTGTTATTGGGACTTGAAAAATATATGTTGTAATGTAGTTAGACAATTTTGGTATTGTTACTTTGCATTTCAAATCATGTGCACTGCCTATTGCTATGCATCACCACTGATAACTATAATTTATTTGTTCCAATGTTGTAACATTCCAATTAGCAGAGACTAAGGATTTGATTGTCGGAGGCCAAGCTCTCTTTTCGGATTATCTGAGTAAGCTCAGAATCTTGAAGAGAGCTTTCACAGCAGCCAAGACCAGCTGCTGGAGTTTGAATTGTGCAGCATTCACGCAGACAAAACTTGGGCTAGAACCTGGGCTTGGCTGATTTGTGTTTAATGCTATAGAAAAGCATGGGATGGGGAGAAGGAAATGGCAAGGTGGCATTGTGCCTTTTATGGCAATCTGTAACCTGGTGTTTAACCTCTGTCAAGAAACCTCAGCTGGTCTCACCTCAAGAACAGGGACCAAAGTAAAATCATTGTACTGCAGTAATTCTACAATCCAAGACCAGAAGTTAGGTGTGACATAAGTTACCTTTGCCCTTTTCATGAATGTTATTCTGAATATCATTGATGACCAATCAAAGGTAGAAGAATCGCAGGGCTCTCAGATGCAGAGCCAGAAATTTTCTCTAGAAAGGAGGAGAGCAGTGGGAAACTGGGAAAAACAGTTTCATTCTCTTTTTACTACCTTCAGACAGGAGAAATTCAAATATATAACACAGCATCTATATAAATACAAAATCAGCCAGATGAATACAACTCACCCATTTTCCATCTCCCCATTTTTTGCCTCTGTTGGGATCTAGAGCCACATGCAGCATTCAAGATACAGATGCATCTTGAATTTTATGGTTTTGGTGTTTTTTTTTGGGGGGGGGGGTTGTTGGGGGGTTTTTTTTTTGGGGGGGGGGGTTGTTGGGGTTTTTTTGCTACTAGTGAGCATGACCTGAGCATTTAATTTTTGAGGGGTTGGTTTTTTTTTTAGCCTTTCATTGTTTGGTCTTTTCTGTCTCTGACAATGTTCTGTTTGACATCCATTCTTGTTTGGATAGTTTTACCTCAGTAGCTAGAAAGAAATTTTCTAGATTTCCCTACTCCACAAGTCTATTGAGCTCCTCTGGTCAAGACCTCAGTTTTATGTTTCCTTTGAAGTCAAAGTCTCAAGTGTTAGGGCGTGCTCTGATATTGCTCTGGAGTGTTGCTTCTCTACTCACTTGAAGGGCATATAGTTAACTGTGGTTTATCCATGGAAGATTTGAAAAACTCTGCAGTTATTTGCTCAGGTTTATTCAACCTGACAAAGAAGGATACGCACTCTTCATAGCGGCTAGGGTGAGCAATATATATTCAGTGGATGATTAAGGTCTAAGCTCTTCCCTTGATGTGTCTGTTGACAAAACATTCCCTCTGTTGATTGAAGTATGGGTAGCTTGAAAACTGACATTTCTAATTTTACTGACATCTCAGTGTCTGTAAATTCTCTCTCTGGTTTTATTCTGGACTGTAGCACTGAAATAGAAGTTTCTTTTAAACTTCTATGCCTATGGATGTTTTTCAGACTACAAAAAAAACTTCCTAGTACTTTTAATAAGATACTAATTTCCTTACCAAGATTTATTAGGCACCTAACTAAGTCTGACAGGGACATAATTATAAGGAATATATCCCTCTCTTGCAGAGTAGCTTGAAGGAGTACTGGTCATTGCGTTGCAATTCTGTCTATTTACTGTGTTCTCTGAAGAGTGATCTATGTTGAATGTATCAGAAAGCTATGGGTATGAGGGAGAGTGAAGTTCAGTCAGCATGTAGTCATTTATCCATCAACCGCATACTTCCAATGATACCTTATTGTCTCAATTTGAAGATATCATGGTATGATTCCCAAGAATTTGTTTGTAATAGACCTCTGAAACATCTAGCTGGCTTTGTGTACTCATCATTGTGACTCCTGCTGAGCCTTTTCGTGGTTTAACCCCAGCCAGCAACTAAGCCCCACACAGCCGCTCGCTCACTCCCCCCTGATGCGATGTGGGGGGAGAATCGGAAGGGTGGAACTGAGAAAACTCATGGATTGAGATAAAGACAGTTTAACAGGTAAAGCAAAAGCCGCGCATGCAAGTAAAGCAAAACAAGGAATTCATTCACTCCTTCCCGTTGGCAGGCAGGTGCTCAGCCATCTCCAGGAAAGCAGGGCTCCATCACACGTAACAGTTATTTGGGAAGACAAATGCCATCACTCCGAACGTCCCCCTCTTCCTTCTTCTTCCCCCAGCTTTATATGCTGAGCATGACGTCATATGGTATGGGATATCCCTTTGGCCAGTTGGGGTCAGCTGTCCCAGCCATTACCCTCCCAACTCCTTGTGCACCCCCAGCCTACTCGCTGGTGGGGTGGTGTGAGAGGCAGAAAAGGCCATGACTCTGTGTCAGCACTGCTCAGCAATAACAAAAACATCCCTGTATTATCTCAACACTGTTCCCAGCACAAATCCAAAACACAGCCCCATACTAGCTTCTATGAAGAAAATTAACTCTATCCCAGCCAAAACCAGCACCAGCCTGAAATTAAAAGTTCTGACAAGAAGCAAGGAATAAATCTCTCTGTGTCATGCTCACTCTCCTACTCTTGCTCTCTGTTGCACTCTCTCTCCCTCCCTCCCTCCCCCCTTTCTGTTTCTGTTTTGGACCAGCCTTGCTGCTACTTCATAGTTACTTACGATGGTAATAGTTTTTGACACCCTGGCAAGCACACTGTATAAAAGTTCTAATGAAGATACACATTTTCTGATTTATTCCCAGTCAATTAAGACAGACTTCATGTATTTCATTGTCTCAAGCTGATTTTGTGTTTCTACAGTGCTTTCAGCCACCTGCCATAATTCTTTCACTTGTGCTGACTCCAGTGTATATGCGTATTAACTCTAACCTATAGGGAATAACAGTGAACTATTGCAATTTATAATTTTAACATCTTTTGAATTGTTTCATTACCTTCTTTTTTCTTTCCAAAATTACTGTTTTTTGAATCCTCACGAGGTGGGTTTTTTTGTTGCTTAGGATTTTACAGATTGATGCGCTCATCTAGCGTTTTGTTAATAGCGGGTTTCAAGTGAGTTGTAATCTGTTTACAACAGTGAATGTAAGTGACACAAATAACTGGTAATATGGTTTCTTAATTAGCTGTTGTGGATTTTTTGTGACCCCTCTTGTAATGCTGGATGTATACTTCAACATGTTTGCTATCATATGGACATCTTTTTACATCTTGATATCCATTTGTGGTTTTTTTTTCTCTTGAGTTTCATTGCTCGCCTGGTATTACGAACTCTTTGTACGTAATGATGTGGAAACGGGAACCCCCCATGGATATATAAATTTGTAAATTCATTAAATCAAATGGTCTGTTTTCAAGTGAGATGGAAGATGACAGCGTATGTGCAACTTTTTATGCAAGTTCTGTTGCAAACAGTTAAATACCAAGGATTATAGCAAGTAGCCTGACCAGCGATCTCTGACGAAGCATACTTGTTTCAGCAGCAAACATTATTGAATGTTCTATGCCATTATGCATAATAGCAGTTGTAATTATTCTGTGGCAGTTTCTCCTAACTTTATTATTAGGATTACTGTACCTAAGCCTGTGAGCTCATGTGAATATTCTTTCTGTTCCCCAAGCTATAAGCAAATAAGTTGTGACCTTCTGGTATTCACTAGCAGCATAACAACTATCAAGTTAATCATTATTTATAGTAACAGGGCATGCTTTTACTCTCCTACTTACGGAACCTCATATCCTGTGAGGCTTCATCATATGGCTGGGGATCTCAATTTGCATGCTTTTAGCATTAGATTAGTTAGTAGTGAATGTTTTGTGACTTCTGCACCACAGTTCTAAATTAAGACCTGTGTGTCTCATTTGTAGAAGGCTATTATGCCAAGAACTTGGGCAAACAAATTATAATGCTTCAAGTTAGAGGAAGGAAGAAGCCCCTGTATTATTCTGTTTCGTATAAAAATAAAAAGCTCTTGTGAGCCTATTGGTTGACTACTTTTTCAGAAGCCATATTTTTGTTTTGCTAGACCTGAGACCTTACTACTAGTAAAAATGTCATGGGGAATAAGTTGTCTCTGAACACACTGCATTAAATTCTTTCTATAATTTTTGTTGTGGAATCACAATTTATGTTATTTACGTTAGAGAAAGACTTGCTGAAGGATTTAGGTGATTTTTTTTTTAATGGAAAACTGTAATTGTTGATGTAAAATTAAAGTTGTCTCTTTCTAGTTTTCCTTATGTTTATTCTACCAAAATAGTATTTTTGTCTGTGCATTTTGAATATGTCATGTTGTTTTGTGGAAAAGAAAAAAAATATTCTACATTGTCATATATCTCTGAAACATAACTCTAATGTGTAATGAGTTGGATATCCACTCTGTAGGTCAAAACCACGTGAGCAATGTATTGTTAAAAATAGCAAGCAATATAGTATTACATTTAGAGTGCTTTAAGTTAAAAAGATAGCGCAGTATCTAAATGTATTTAAACTCTAAAGCATTTCCTTTGTTTAAATACAGAAGACAGTAGGAGTGGACTGGCATAATGCAGCTAGGGCAATACTGTAACTACCTGGTGTATTTCTTTGTAAGATGAAGTTGATATAGATACAGTTGTGAGGAAAAATTTGTGAACACTCATGTAAATATTTTCTAAGTATCAGCTGTGAAATACATTATCTCTTGGAGCAATGGGTTTAAAATTTCCATTTGTTTTGACCTTCTCTTTTGGCCCTTTATGGTAGATACTTTTGAGTACCAAGCAGTTTACTTTGTGAGAATATACCATATGTATGATTCCCATTTTGTAAGATCTGCTTCTTTGCCTAATGTCTAGTACCATTACGGCCCATATGTGCCTGCATTTGGTAAAATGAGTATGACGATGAATTGTTTGTGAATTTGTATGTAAAGAATTTGTACATAAAGATAGTATAGTATCCTTTGGTGGAAGATGCTGTGAAGGTGGAAAATCATTCTGGAAAATCCTGATTTAAAAAAAATAAATATCTTCTCATTAACTTCTAGTTTTCATTTATCTGGCTCTTGCAATGCATAGACTCAGTAAATAACGATGAGTGTTAATGTACTTATAGCTTAGACTTGGACCATATTTCTGTGGATTTGAATGTGATCTGCTTTGATCTGCAGACTTACTTGACTAGAAATTTGCCCTATAGTCCACAGCTCAAAATGTAACTAGCCTTGTTTGCTGTTTAGCTGAACATACTGTGTCATTTCCCTCCCCCCACCCCTATTTATGCTTTTGAACTATCGTATTCCGTACTGTTCATGTGAATTACACGTACTCAGGACCGCAACACATTGCTTTAAAAAGCTGGTTTTCCACAAGTCCCATTTGAAAAAGGTCTTTATCAACTGATCTGGCTATCAAAGAAAAGATAATTGAGGAAACTGTAGTAAAGAGAAATCAGCACTTCTAAATAACTTTTAAAGTTAAAAATAAATACTAAGTATCCATCCCCATTTGGGAGCATAGTTTTACTGAATAAAAATACAATTAAATTTAACACTGTGCAATTACTTGCGTTGAGAACAGTTGATTTCAGTCCTATACCCGGATTGGTTTGCTCATCAAAGGTACAATCAGTCTGGGGAGGGGAATCTCAGAAGTGAATGTCTGGTTGGGCATTGAGGGACAAGTTATACTGTAAGGTGAATACTGACAACCTCTTCTACAAAAAATCAAATTTTAGCAAATATTGCAGCTATCATACTTATAAATGAGGGGCTGCCTGGTCTCAATACTCTGCTTTATTAAATAAGTCACCTAACTCGAGTCTAAATTAGAGGTCATCTGCTGGCCAACTTGGAGATACCGTAATTGTATTTGAAGAGTCTGAAAAAGCTTATTGAGAAATAAACTATCAAGACTTCAGTCTGGATTACTCTCAAATACTTTCTGCCTAATAAAAGGAGTATTTGTATTGAAATAATGCCTGCAAAAACCAGTGAAGACAGTACTGTGATGGGCTACTTCCTTCCTCTACCGTTTCTGATGCGTTAACTCAGAGTCAGCATTAACCAGGTACCCTGGTTTTGTACCACGTCACACAAAATAGTTATGTACGGTTCTGTGTACCTCCTAATACTAATTAATTACTTGTTTTTTTTTAGTGTTGAGGTTAGTGAACAGTCTCATTTCACTGTATGGTTCTGTGAGAGTTCATTCTTCTTTGTATCCTGTATGGAAGGCCCACATTTACTGGCAGTGTTAGTATATGCTATAGGTGTAGGGTTTGTTTCTTCCCTTTGCAAAGAGTGCTGAGATTAGTATTGTTACAAGTATGTGTTTCATTTTTAGTGCATTATGCTCATATATAAGCAGTAAGATGCCTGCAGAAAGTTTGCTTTTTCTGGGAATTAGTGTTCTTCGTTCTCCTTTGTTTTTAATATTAAATGATGTGCAGTAAAGGCAATAATTTCTTTTCATCAGGCTTGTCATAAGTATGTATCCTGTGTAATTTAATTTGCATGCAGTAGTGTATTGAAAGATGTGAACTGCAGGTTGCCATAAATTAATGACATTTAACATAGCATTTAATAAAGAAATATATTTCCCAGAATACAACAGATTCTTGGTCCTCTTACAGTAAGTGGGTACATTTTTACTGATTTTAATGTATTTCACCTGTTGATTGAATGAGACTTAGGTGGAAGATTCGTAAAGGAAATGTAGATCTAAAGCTGTTTTTCCCCCCCCTCTCTCAGCCTTCTTTGAATCCTGGGGGAAGACAAGCGTCTGATGTAGTGCTCTTAAACCACTGGAGCATTCGAAATTACGATGTACAACGTGGGGACATTGTGTCATTGGTGTAAGTAATTTTGCATACATTTCAATACATGCTTATATAAATGTTGAACCATCGGTATTTAATATGTAATCTAGACTACTGTAAGTATATATATGAACAGGGAACATAAAATTTTTAATAACGCATTATTGTTATTCCTATAATCAGTTTTCAAAACTCAGATGTTCAAAGAATGCATTACCAAGTTTTTACTTGAATGCAGTGTAAGATATTATGTGATACAGTATATACGCGTACCAAAACTGCCGAGAAAAAAGAGCTGTGAGATAAAGAGAGAAAATAGATAAAACATTATGTGGCTTAATGGAGTATGCTTTTTAAGTTGTTTGGCTATGCACTCATATTTGTGAGAAAAATAGTGTTTCTTTATTAATTAATACTAACTTTTTTTTTTCTTGGAGAAATCTGGCTACTGAATAAAATTTTAAATAAGATCACAAGAATTCCACCGTCTCCATAAACAGCAAATATAGCAAAAAAAAAAAAAAAAAAAAAGTTTTACAATTATAATGGGGGGGTCTATATGTCAAGCCAAAAGGTGGCAGTGTTTCGCTGTTGAAAATACTCAAGACTAACAGAGGACAGAAACTCCATTTCAGCCTTAATGTAATATAGAAATGGAATGTCAAAGTGTGCATAACTGACACAATGATATAACACATACTCATACTGCATGCTTGGATAGTTTAAGCTTAAGGTTTTAGTTTTGTAAGTGAAGTGCACAATATGTAGATTATAACAGAACTGTCTTTGGAAGCTATATTATCTGGCTTCCTTTTTGTCATATATCTTTTCTAATTGTCCCATTTTTTTGCCTACCTCTTCACTGTAGTGGTAATTTGTAAGACAATTTTCACTACCAGCTCTTAAAGCAAACTCTTTCATGTAGTCTTCCTTTGTTAGAAATTTAAAATTTACTTTACAGTCTGTCTTATTGTCTGGCATGTAAGATCTTCTGTAAATGGTCTAGCTACAAATATGAATTTATTCATGTTTGCAACACCTAATATTGCAAAAGGACTCCCATTTCAGGTCACTTAATGACTGCTTGTAAAATTTGATTCTGCCTGTGCGTGCATCCCTCTGCCCAAGTCATACTCTGGTGATTGTTTAAAACAGTGAATGTAACTGATTACTCATTAATAGACTGAACAGAAGATGAGCATGTTGTCTAATCAGAAAAAAGAATTAATTGTTTCATTCTTGTTATACTTCCTGAAGGTTTGTGGTACTGTCTGAGCCATCTGCATTGATTGCTTTCACTTTGCTGTATGTTTGGCCATGATAACTAATATTTTAGACGCTGTGGGTTTTTTGTATGTTTTGAAAAAATTGCCTATTATTGGTGGAGCTTATGTACATCCACATGGAGGAAGTCACATTGTATTTATGCATTGTACTGAGGTTTTTCTTAATCTTTGGGGAAGTACACTGAATAATCGGACTAGAGAATTCAAAAAGCACTTTAAGAACAATACAAAGGAAGTTAAACAATGTAAAAATAATCTATTGAATAGTTTTGATATGAAAATATTGAAGGATATTTTATATATAAGTAACAGCTTTAAGTTGTTTGGGTTTGTTAGAAGCAGCTTTGGCCTACTAGCTTATTGTAATGTAAAGATTTTAATTGTGTTGTAAAGACTTGCAGGATACAGTATCTGGATGTGATTTTGTACCCATGTGAGTTGCTTGAGACAACTTTTGGTACATGAGGCTTTTATTGTGTAAACAGGTTAATATTTTTATCCTTTTCATTTCAATTGTTTACCTATGATTTCTATAACTCACTAGTGAATAGATATCCTGTGTACATGCATGAATTTTACTCGGTGGTCCTCGGAGGATTTGGCTGATTTAGGCAAGGCATGAACAGGGAAGGCCAGTCTCCCATCGGCTGCTGTTTTTTCTGTTCCTGTCAGAAATTCAGATGAGAAAGTGTTGGTGTGACTGAGATAGGCAGATGGATATGTAAACCTTCTTTCATATCTTACTTGGCTGCTTAACATTTATCCACTGTCTCCTCTTTGCCAAGTCATAGTAGAAGATAGCTACGAGGTTGTGGGAGGGTGGTATTTTGCAGAACAAGAGCTGAGGTCAAATACTCATTCATGGCAGCTTGACCAGGGCCATCTAAGCTCTTTGCTTTCTTCATACTGTCAGAAATACTATGTCATTCTGGATGGGTGCTGTTTCTATCAACTCTTAAAAGGGATTGTTGAAATCCCAACTGGCAAAGTCCAGTGTAAATAGATGGCCAACAGCCAAACCTTGGAGCAAAGAGATGTGTTAGTCTCCGTGGCCGTGGATGCCCCAAGAGAGGATCAATCAGCCTGTGATTATGCTTGTGATACTGGTTGCAGATCCAAAAATTTTTCCTCTTACCATCCAATCTAGTTCTAGATGAAATATAGATTTTTGTTATTTGGTGACTTTGATTACAAATGAGCGCCCTGTCCCCAAGCACTTGGTGGAGTTTATGCCTGGTTAAGGTACTAAATGAAGATTGCACATTTATGGAAACGTGTGTCGTGTCTCTGTCATCCCTGCCTTTGCATCTGATGTAGATATAACTATGCATCACATCACAGCTGTGAAATTAGCCACTGCGTGTGCACACATGTGCGTATAGCTGGGTTTAGACATAATATTTAGAATGGCATTAGTCCTTGAAAGTATAAAATTAGGGTCAGATAAAATGAATGGAGAGAATAAGTTGGTAGTAAAGAATGATTTGTTTACCTGCAGTTTGGTGTCTTACAAATAGTTAAATCTTACCTCACCTTTTTAGAAGATGTTTTAAGTCAATGTTTTTCCTTTTAGCTTGAGCTCATCCTTATTGATACCAGAATTAAGAGGGCCCTATGTTACCTGTTATAACTTTTGAACTCACAATTTTAAGTTGATTCGGAACTAAGGAAATTAATATCCTTGATTTGATCTCTTGCTTGAGTGCTTAATTTAGAGACTGCTATATTACTGGGATTTAATAAATTAAAAATCAAAACAGGAATATTTTTTCAATAAATTAAATAATTTCCATTATTACGTGTTCCAGAACACTACCTCTGCATCTCTTAAACAGATGCAAAAAAAGTGTGTTATTTTCTTTGTTTTGGAAATGCATGCATTTATTTTCAAAGAGGCAACGTAGTCATATAGGACAGGAGGTCATCTTTAAAAGATAAATGGATGCATATTTTTGCCAGGCGGACCTTGATCTTTCAATAACTTTTGTGGTGAAACAGGCCTTTTGTTTTGTAAGAGCTCTGCTGAGGTAGATCCCAACAGTTATGTAGAACTTTATCAGATATTGCAGAATGAGTTATAGCATGAGTGGGCTTCTCCCAGCTGCTTTTACTGTGTAAAATTTGAATGCCAACAGCATTGTAGTAGCAGCAGCAGCATGCATCACAGTGTGGGCTGTACAGCTCATGCAGGTCCTTAGAAATACATGCTGCAACTGCGCTTCCTGGTACTAATGGAGATAGTGCTCTTCTATTGTGTATTAATGGACACTTTTGCCAACATACCTATACGCAATTTGGCTTCTACTGTGTACAAATGGAGGCGTTGTAAAAAGATGTTGCCAAAGAGTGACTTATGGCTGTAGAATTAATTTCGCTTATCTCTACTGAAAACCTTATATCCTGAATGTAAAATCTTGCCCTCTTCTTATTCCAAAATTCCTGTCTTAATGTAGAAAAAAGTTGTTGCAACATGTAGAAGATTGCAAAATCAGTATGTGTATGTTGTATGCATATTTTACCGATATGACAAAATTTAAGTAAGCTTTTGAACTGAAGACACAACAGTATTAATTCAGACATTGAAAATGTTTTTTTAGGTAAATAAAAGTTTGGTCTTGTTCTTTACTTGGTTAATATGTTTTTAACAAAGGAGTTAACAATGACTGCAGTATAAATAGGGTGGTTAGATTTTGAACGATGAAATTTCAAGGCTGTAAATATTCACCGATACTAATTTTAGCCTTTGGAGGTTATGTTACTTCTGTAACAGAGAGAACACCTTCTCCAAGTTGTGACTGAGAGCGGGAACCTACTTGCTGGGTAGGTTGCCAGGTGTCTCTCCATTTATAATTTAGAATGTGTGCTTATGTGTTAAATAAAAATAGCTATGCTAATGTAATCTGGAAAAAGGTTGAGAACCAATGCTGTTTGTTCTGTAAATTTTGAATGGTAACATGCTTCTAAAGTTTTGAACTATAATAGCTAAGTGAAAATGGGCAGTGTATTTAAAAACATGTTTTTAAAGGTCAGCTATAATAATAACGAAATGAATGTATATTTTGTCAGCTTCTTGTGAGTTCTTATATAGAAGCATAATTGCTTTAAGTACAAAACCAACTTTTTACATAGAAAATTCCTTGACATTTTAAAAAAAAAAGCTTACTTCCTATCTCCTATCCTGATGAAGGATATTAAGTAGCTTCTGTCACTGCTTCCTCTGACTGTAAGATTATGTTCAGGCCGTTTGGCAAACTCCCTTGCTTTTGGTAGCTGCTAAGTATTTTTGTGTAAGGCTGTGTGTGTTTGAGCTCTGAAAAATCCAGTGCAAATCAACATTCTGGAGGAAGAATCAAAGTACTGTGCGTGAGGTTGTCTCTGTGGCTGTGTCCCTCACTGACATCTGTTCAGAAATGAGAATTAGAAAAGGTAGTTGCCGTGATGATTGCATGTGATGGTTCAACAAGTTTCAGCCTATTCACACAAATCTGAATAATCCAAATTTTGAAGGAATGTGGTCCTGTTCAGTTGATGGAAACAAGAGAGTTCTCAAATGGTGCAAAGTTAATATATACTATACATGAAACATCACTAATTGGAATTTCATTAATAAGACTAGCCTAGTAAAATAAATATCGGTAAGAAGGTACTTATTGAAGGAACTGCCTTGAATTTGAATCAGTAGTTGTAATTATGAAAAGACTTTCTACTAAATTCTGATAGATGTAACATGAATGGGTTTTTAATGGTTCT